AGCGTTGTAAAGAGATTGATTACCAAATGTGGTTTGAGGATTTGTCAAAATATTCTAAATTGAAAATGTACCAGTCTGTTAAGACTGTCTTTAAATTTGAAGAATACCTATCACTTGTCATTGTACATCCTTATAGAAATGCTCTGATTAAATTTAGATGTTCAAACCATAAACTTATGATTGAATACGGACGTAGACTTGGTATAAGTGCGAATGAAAGATTCTGTCCATTGTGTATCGTACCTTGTGTCGAAACTGAATACCATTTTTGTATGATATGCCCATTCTATAATGATATAAGAAGTCTATTACCGAAATACTATGTACAAAACCCAACTCTTTTTAAATTCCAACAACTACTGTCATCACAAAATGCCTACACTGTAAATGTCTCAGCGAAATATATTTTCCTGTCAATGAAAAAAAGATGTAAACAACTCAATATTAATTAATTGTCACTTTGATTGACCAATGTATAATATTGTATGGCGCTCAATTGAATTGAAAAATATCAATGAAATATGTATTGTATAATGGGCCGGTGGCCCCTTTACTGCAATAAACTCTCTCTCATACTAGTGTGAACAGCCACGCCTGTCTCGCGGCAGATTGTGTGCGACTGCTGTGACCCATATCATAACAGAGCCATAGTACAACAACTAACTATATATATATATATGTATACTCAACAACAAAAGTTCCTGTAACACCAATATTTTAGTGTATTTTTCAAACAAGTAAAGTTTAATAGTGTAGTACATGTATGAAATCAAGTCACAAAAACGCAACTGTAACAGAAAAGCATGCATTCAATGCAAAAGTTGACTTTTATGCCCCATGCATTTCACTACCCAAGAATGTGCGTTAACGGGATTCCATATGCATCGTTTAGCATCGTGCTGACAACAACCAATCAGAAAAACAACAACTTTACGCAATTATTCAACATTACGAAATGCCACGCCTGTCCGAAAATGAGCGTCTGCGAGCCATTGGTATGTTTGAAGCAGGATCGAGTCAACGTGAAGTTGCAAGACAATTTAACATCCACAGAAACACCATTTGGTGTTTATGGCAATGTTGGCAACAGACGAATGCAGTCAGAGACCATTCTTGGGGTGGCAGGCCACGCGTAACCAATAATCAACAAGACAACTGGATTCGAATAACACACCTACGAAAACGATTCAAGCCAGCAACAGTGACTGCAAGAAGCATCCCTAGCCTTTGACGAATATCTTCACAAACCGTACGTCGTCACCTCAGATGTGTAGGGATTGTCGCCAGAAGACCCGCCAGACGTCCCATTTTGACAGGAAACCACCATCAAGCACGTCTACAGTGGTGCAGACAGCGTCTACGCTGGACGGCCATGCAGTGGGGACAAGTTCTATTCACTGCCGAGTCTCGTTTTCACCTCAGCCACAGCGATGGACGGATTCGAGAGTACCGACGTCGAGGTGAACGTTAGGTCAATCATTGTGTCATGGAAGAAGATCGGTTCGGGGGCGGCAGCGTTATGGTATGGGGTGGGATTACAGCAAGACAGAGGACCCGTTTGATAGTGGTAGAGGGAAATCTCAATGGACAGCGCTACCGCGACGAGATCATCGGCCCTGTTGTTCTACCGTTTTTGCGTCGTCATGGCCCAGGCATTACCTTTCAACATGACAACGCCCGGCCTCATATTGCTCGATTGTTCAGTATTCCCTTCAACAAAACAACGTGAATATCATCCCCTGGCCGGTTCACTCCGCTGATCTCTCACAAATCGAGCATATCTGGGATGTAATGGATCGGCGCCTTCGACGTCAACCACGTGTTCCACAGACACTCCAGGAACTTCGAAACATGCTCCAGCAGGTATGGAGAGATATTCCATAGGACTTTGTGCGACGCCTGGTCAATTCCATGAGACAAAGATGTGTTGCTTGCATCGCAACCATGCTATTGATTTGTAAATTGACATTTTGGCATGTTCGTGGGTTTTTTTAAATGAAATTACGCATTTCCTGAAGTCAGTATGGCAAATTAAACCATCTGAACACTTACAGGAGTCTTTTATCTGTTGCAAACCGAAATTGTTTTAGATTGGTAAAAAAAACATAACTTTGCATTAAATCTTATTCAATGTCACAGGAACTTTTGTTGTTCAGTATATATATATATACGCCTGCATGTGCAGCTGTAGCCCAAGAGGCTGCAGACCCGTGACGATCCGGGTTAGAATTGGTCTTCAGCAACCCACGCCGCTTTTAGCAATATTCCTGCAATATCACGGCGGGGGAGGGACACCAGAAATGGGCTTCACACATTTTACCCCTATGGGGAATCGAACCGGGGTCTTCGGTTTGCCGAGCGAACGCTTTAACCACTGGGCTACCCCACATGCTTGTCTTAAGAGAAGACCAACGGGATCGGGTGGTCAGGCTCGCTGACCTGGTTTGGTGCATGTCATGATCCCAAATGCGTAGATTTATGCTCATGATGTCAATCACTGGATTATTTAAAGACCGCTGTCACAGAGCTGGAATATTGCAGAGTGCAGCGTTAAACACAAAAAAAACAAAAAAACAATATGCAGCAGCGTCACTATTCCGACGAAAAATCTGAGTCATGAATCCCACCTGACATACATCAACATCAACCCACCTCGCAACCCGCGGGAGATAAAACTGAAACATGGCCATTCCCATGCCCCACTTTGTGATATTGATGTGTAGCTTGATACAGGCAGGCCCACATGTACCGCGGCGGCCTAACTGAACATCGGCCCACTATTCGCTGGTTATACCTATGTTTGCACTGTGCGGGGGTCACGCGGGTTCCGCTGGTATATATGGATCGATGTCCCGCCCTAATGTTGGCTTCTCGGTCCCATTAAATGTGTTACCAAACTTCTAAATATATTCTCCAAACTGATTACATCCTTGCACATCCCTGAAGATCCGGGTTAGAACAGGTCTTCAGCAACCCATATGCTTGTCGTAAAAGGCGACTATGCTTGTCGTAAAAGGCGACTATGCTTGTCGTAAAAGGTGACTATGCTTGTCGTAAGAGGCGACTATGCTTGTCGTAAGAGGCGCCCAACGGGATCGGATGGTCAGGCTTGCTGACTTGGTTGATGCATGTCTTCGTATCCCAAAAGCGTGGATCGATGCTTACGATGTCAATCACTGGGTTGCCTGGTCCATATTCGATTATTTGCAGACCGCCTACATATACCGGGAATATTGCTTGTTAAGCGTTTGGCGGCGTTAAACAACAAACAAACAAACCATCCTTGCAGACCCGTGAAGATCCGGGTTAAACTTGATCTTCAGCAACCCATGCTTGCCGTGAGAGGGATCTGGTGGTCAAGCTCGCTGACTCGGTTGATGCATGTCATCGTATCCCATTGGGTAGGCCGATGATCGTGATGTCGATCACTGGATTGTCTGGTCCAGACTTAATTATTTACAGACCGCCGTCATATAGCTGAAATATGGATGAGTGCGGCGTTAGACAACAAACAAACACCACATTCAGGACCCACTAGACGAACACTTCATCTTTGAAAACATTTCTTTGAAATAATTATAATTTTTTTCTCAAACGATCCTTTACTCTTCTGCTGCAATCAAGAAAACTAGACTTGGTTAGGTTGACCTGGGCTGGCTTTGGCTTTCAGTAATACACACACACACTTTGCGAGAAAAAAAGAGACGAAAAAAAATTTCAACATTGAAATACCGGCATAACAGATAAACATGTCATGACTTTGCAGGTGTCCGGAATATTACTTAACAGGGCTCTGGACCCGACATACCAAAAGAGGGGTCATCCTCGCTATAGCGTGAATCGCCATAGGTGATCGGACACGTTGACAATGACGCAGCTGCATGATAATTCAACTATCTATGACTTTCCTGGAAAGTGTTTTTTTCTAAATCTCTTCAAAGTGCCACCATATTATTCTGGTTGATTTATGAAAATCATCATTATATTTTAAAAAAATATATTTTCCTTCTGTCATTTTCGTTCTAATATTAAAAAAATAAGAAATCATGAAATGGTTGATAATCCATCCTGGTGGATTTAATAAAATATTCATTAAGTTTCCGTCTATCAGTTTTCGCTCTAATAGTCTAAAAAAAAATATCATGAAATGTGTGATCCTCTCACGTTTACCACATGCAACTGTAGGAATTAATTTAAGAAGGACCTATTTGCAACACCCACCCTTCCAGCCCCATCCCACACCCTGCCCCTCCCCACACCCAGCCCCGCCCCGCCCCACCCCACACCCTGCCCAACCCGCGTCGGGATAAGGCACTTGGTAAAGTAACAAGCCAAGGAGATCTGGAAAACCGCGACTGTTTCTCAAAACTGGGCGTCGGCGATTGTACTTACAGATCGAATCAGGCCATCTTGATGACCCGTCGTGCGCATTGCCGTCGTTATTGACTGTTCGCGGGTAATTCCGAGAGAGTGAGATTTATTTGAGGCTCTACAGTACACACGCCGAGTGCGGCTGACATTCACCGCCCCACAAGCGTAACTAGGTCAGGCACGCACTCGGTATGTGATATATGTTCATTGGACTTGTTCTTTCGCCCTGCCTGATTTAAATAGCCGCAGTTTCAATATCATAAACATCGTAGTCACGAATATTCCCTGATTGTTAACATACGACTCGTACTGGCCCAACAAGAGACGGAACAGAACGACATATATTGGTTTATGTAACAGGAAATATGTACACATACATACACATATATACCTATACATACACATACATACAAACATATATATATCTGCATCGGATCTGCATATAGTGCGGGGATATAAGTAACAAAATATTTACATCTATAGACAATTAGCCACCAAATATCTTTTCGCATGCATCCATGGTATAGATGTTATGAATTTAACAGTTTGTGGTGTGTTCAATATCGTCCATGCTTTTGACCTCTGATCATTCCGACCTTTATATCAAGGTGAAGGTTACGCACAAGCGACTTCCTGATCACCCTCTAATCGCGACAATTGTATTAAACTCGACAATTCTGTTGTATGAAATCAATAATTACATATATAAAGCTCTCGAAGGATGGGAGCGAAACTATCTGGGTATAAATGCCCGCATAAAGCATCAGGACGCTTAGTACACAACATCGGTCGGAGTACGAGAGTGGGTTGTGCATGATTCACTAGTGTTCCGCGAGGGAATAGTGGGCCTCAGAACCGTACATATAGGTCATTCATGAACGAACACCTCAGCGTCAACACCAGGTTGTGCACACTCACCGTACACATCGGATTTTGTTATTTCTTTTAGCCAAATTCAGGAAATATAGATGAAAACAAGGTAAGGAAGACTTTTCATTCACGACGTTCAAATGTCAACTGTTCGTATGATATGGTACTTCGAGGTTCTCATTATCGCCTATTTCTCTCTTCAATGTATGAAAACAAACATTAATATCGCCCATAAATGGCACTTATATCTGAGAATATTCTACATTATTTTTGTTTGCTTTAGTAATTATAATTATTATTATTATATAAGGCAAAAATTAAGTGTTTATATAATATTTTTTTACGTTACATAAGTATATATTTACAGTGTGTTTATTTGAGTAATTGTCACATTTTATATCGGTACGTCTTTTGGGTTCATCATGTATACAGAGGCATACTGATTTTTACATGCAAATGAAAATTATGGTATTTCTTGATTATTGGAAGAGATATAAAGTTAACTATAGTTTGGGGCGATAGCAAATGGGCGAGACCAGTTGACCAGTATGAATGAAAAATTGTTGACTTACCATGAATTGAATTGTAGTAGGGGAAATGGAATGTTTAAGCTTGTTTTCTCAGAATCTATTGGGGGTGGTCGGGTAGCCTAGTGGTTGGATAGCCTAGTGGCTAACGCGTTCGCTCGTCACGCCGAAGACCAGAGTTCGATTCCCAATGGGTACAATGTGAGAAGTCCATTTCTGGTGTACCCCGCAGTGATATTGCTCATATATCATATATCCATACTCACTCACTCAATATCTATTGGGGTATCCATTATTTATAAGACAATCGTAAATTTAAGAGGAAACATATGTATATCGCTATCAATATTCATATATGCAACACAGTGAGAAAAGATTTGGGGATTGTGTATGGCTATTTTTACAGCTGCAAAACCAGATATTTTATAAAGCATCTTGCAACAAAATAATTTTTGTGTGGAAGATAGTATATATATTTGTTTTCAACAGTCTGAAGCATAGTTATTTTTTTCAACTGTCCGAAGAATAATTAATGTTTTTAACAGTCTGAAGCATTTTTTTTTTCAAGCATTTTCTTTGGATAATATATTTTCTTCAATGCAATAGCACCCTCGCCCATTTCCGGAATGTTAAATATAACTGGCCACATTGAGACGTCTATTTTTGGTCTATTTTGAGTTGAATGTGAACTCAGCAATATTAAAAAGGTTATTACTGATTGTCCTTCATATTGTCTTTAATAAACACAGACTAATATAATAAATAACCCCGATTCTTTTAGAACTGAAACAGTTCAATTTGCATTTGCAGAATTAAAATAAGATTTTAATTTGTGACAGATGTTGAGAATCCACGCCTTAAGTGTACTCAATATGACATATATCCTTGTAACAATCGACGGGCATGCTTGTATATTGCCGAACTTGTGAACAATTAATTATAAACAAATAGCACTGTCAGGCCAATATCGCAGAATACAAAAATGAAATATTGTTCTCAATATGTAAATAACACTACCCAATAATAAATAAGCTGGGATGCTTGACCTTAGTTAGTACATTTGTTTATTGATTGTTTACTGGGTTATAGTTATGCAGAACCAATTTCACAAAATGCAACTTATAAAAGGTTGTTTACAATATAAAATATGCATTTTGGGTTATATGTTTCGATAACCCTCACTCTTTAAATGTACAAAATGATACATATTTTTAATAATATTGAAGAGCGTACGTTTATATAGAAGAACATGTTTACAATAATGAAGGAATAGCAAAACCGGATAATTTGGTAAAAAAACAACCCAACAAATTATACTTTCATTTGCGATATAAATATGTTCTTGGTTCATATTGTGATCACCCTATACCCTTAATTATGCAAAAAGAGATAGACTTTCTCACTCAAGTCGGATTTGGCAAGATAAAAATTTATATTTTCGTTTGCAATATAAATATGGTCTTCTTGACGAACATTTTCAAAGTCATTTGAAATTTGAAATTCGGACCAATTTCGAAAATTAATCAAGTAAATATTGCTTACAATTTTTGTATGATCCTTTAGTTGTGACATCATTGTGACAACCCTACCTTTAAATATACAAAATGTGATACATGTCCTTACTAAATTGGAGCGTATGCTTGTTTATTTGTTTATTACAAACAATCTCGCAACGGAAGTAAAATAAGGTAAGCAAAATTTAAAATAAATAAATACAATGTTGGTTCGCTTTATTATAGGTTCATTTCCTCTCGATTAAAAAAATAATAATAGACATATAAAAAAAATAAAAAAAGATATTTGAAATAATCAACCAACTATTCTTGTAACATTTACAACATTAATAGATAAGCGCAAGGCTCAGGAAAATAATATATCTGGCTTACAAACAATTATAACTTTATAATTGTCTCTTTAAAATTGCATGCATATTGTCCCAGTAGTATAAGCGGTCCTTCATGGTACATGAACTATTTCGCATACCCCATAAGTTTGGGTCGACATACTTGAGAATTCTAAACGTTTGTTGAATTTACTTTGGAAAGGTTGATGTCAGTCTCATTATTCGTCATGTTGCGGAATACATTAACCACCACTATTAGATGAGCCACATAATTTCGAGAATGATGCTTCATTCATTTCGCATGTGAAACTTTCACTCGGAATTTTTGCTCTATGTGATATTGAATGAACTGACTCAACAGTCGTGTTGTAACAGATTCACCGTATGACGAGGACCAATAATATGAAAGGAGAGCTATTTTTAGCCCCCGCTGTATTCTCATATCCTGTTAAGTGAAAATGTGAATATTTCAGAAGTATTGGTTGTCATTTTTTTGTCATATTTTTGCCTTATATTACACAACATGCCTACAACGAGTAGAAGAGTCGAGATATCGGATTAACCTTTGACGTCTTGAAGAAGTAATACATTCCTTGATGACAAATATAACTTGCAAATGTGTTCATAATTGATTTCTATTATATATTCGTTTAAAAAATTCATAAGGTTATTTACTTGTCATTGTAGATTTTAATTACTTTCTTCAAAGCCACAGTGTTGTTAGTGAAAAGAAATATAAGATGGGAAACACATTGGGAAGGGATTTCAAAAAATTGTCAATAGGGCTAAAATACAAATTAAAGAAGCACGATGTTGCCTGTTGCTGAAATCAAAGAATTACAGCGCATTTTGTTTTAATTACTTAAATTTTGTTTATTGGGTATAAGGGAGGTACAAGTCTGCATTCGTACGACAAATATACTATTTTAAGAAACGCATTTGCTTCTTAAATACCTAATTATTTATATAGATAAACAAAGCTTCAATGACAAAAGTGATTATTACGCATAATTAAAAACATGAAAAGATTTGCAAAATATCCGTCGACGCCCATTTGGTGGTACAGATGCTTTGCAAATCGTGATGTCGACCGAAATCTGGACGTTGAAATCCATGTTGTTTCCGAACCGGATGTCTATGCATAGACTCGTTAGTCCAGCTGAAATAAAACTCCGGAATTCCAGCCTAGTTCGGAAACAAACATTACATTTTTGCAAGGTGTTTTCCTTAAAAAAATATATTCAGGCTCATAATTTTAATTAAACAAATATCTTAAGTATGCAGGATTAGTGACGATGGACGCGATTGTATCAGTTGCACAGTAGAATGAAAAAGGTTTTTACATTATCAGGGAACTTGTTATTTCGGCATTGGATTGTATTATTATCTTTTTCGAGCTCGGATATATCACAATAAAAAAAATATATGACGAAAAAATACAACATATATTGTGATATATATAGGTAATGTACCAGCCTAAACTTTATATTTAATAGTTATAAATAGCTTTTATAATGAAAATGGTATTATCTTGCACGTCTTTCACACAATCCAAATATACTTTTTTCTGCCATAGAACTTAATATCTTTCAAGAGACTCTGGATACCGTTTCTCAAGATATCACGCGCGAAATGGTACGCCTTACCTTAGAGGGTGTATGCTAATTGGACCATCCCACGTACTGATCAGTTTGTGGATGTCGTCCACATCCGTACCGCTGTATGAGGAATCATATCTACAAGACACCCTCCCACGTGCTGTGGTAATATCTGTGTCAAGGTCACTTAAATTCCACTCACCGAAGTTCTCAGTAAATATTTTTATTACGAAACCTTTCAAGTCATTTGCTTATGTGTTATCGGCATTAAAAAACAAAAACAAACAAAAATCAAACAACATTATTCAAAACGTCAACGCCCTCGATTGTCTGTGAAGACATTGGATGTAAAAGACAAAACTAAAATAATCCTATCATCGTGTTAGTCGCGTTTTAGATTGCATGACATGGAATTGAAAAAAGATGTCACGAAGCTATTATTATATATTCATCACAAATGTAGACAATTCGCCCATTCTTTCAGGGGCGTCTTTTCAATACCCTTGGAATGAAATCAGAATCGTTTGATGTCACTTGTTTTAGAGGAGAAGAATGTATTGTGTAATTGAATATTTCGTAGACAGTATGTTAGTTAAAGGGTAACGGATCGACTCGTAGAAGATATATATATATATACACTCTTTGTCCTATTTTTCCCCTGGCCTTTCTTTGCCGGTATTGAGATTACTTCCCAGGTTCTGCTCTTTTCGCAGATACCTAACTGTTACAAGTAGAGATTGTCGCAGAGCATCAATTGTTCCCCGCAATATACTGTTATGTGCAGAGGAAGGAAGTGTAAGCTATGGGAGGAGAGAATTGGTGTAAAGTACAAATTGGTAGTTATTAATGTAGTTATCTTTGGAAAGCGCAATGAAAGAAACAGTGTCTTCAAATGGTCAGCACAAGGAAAACCCAGGCAAGAAAGCTGGGCCTGTCAGGCAGAACTTGATATATACCCACTATTAGTACCAATAAATAAAATAATTGATTACAAGTCCCAGTTAGATGAAACAACAAATGTCATTCTTAAACATGCTTTTGCAGCAAATATCAATATTGCTGGTCAAAATGTTGGTTGGGTTAAATAAAGCAAACTTTTTGAATAGTAAACACAAAAAATGTAATGAATCTACTGTAAACA